TGTATCTGTGTCAGTTGCAGCATCCCAGAGTTATGTGGTCTCCATTTGTGACCTTCTGAGTCAGCTTCAGACAAGCAAAGTCAATAGGGGAAGCCGGTTTTGCTTCACAACGGCATGATTCATTTAACAACTGCGGTGATTCGCTTAACCACCATGAAAAAAAAAAGGTCATAAATACGTGCGACCCACTTAGCCGCTTTGCTTCGCAACAGGAATTCTGCTCCCAATTGCGACTGTGAAGCCGAGGATTATCTGTAATTTTTTTGTGTTGTGTTCCTTGCCGAATGGCAAGAGATTAAACATCTCATGGCAATTAAACTGCATGGATTTTATAAAGAACAGACAGTGTCTGATAAGACTTTGTTAACTTCAGATGAGAAACTAATTAAGAAAGTGTATAATTTCTTATTAATTTTGGAAATGGAAAGCGAACCAGTTAAAGAAACAATGATAAGATGGGCGAAAAACTTTGGATATAACATAGAATTAGAAAAATGGCAAAAATTTACGGGAAAGAAATTATAAATTGACAATGTCAACTTCTTATAAAGAAAATTCATATAAAATGTTTTATAGATGGCACTTGCCACCAGCAAGATTAGCAGATAAAAATATGTCAGATAGATGTTGGAAATGTAAACATATCTCAGGCACGCATTATCATGTTTGGTGGACATGTGATAAAGCAAAGAATTATTGGGAAAAGATACATACTTGGTTAGAAAAGATGTTGGGAGAATATGTAGGTTTTAAACCTGAACTTTTTTTATTAGGTATAATGCCAGAAAAGATTAACAAACAAAGCCTATATTTGATTTTACACATCATAACAGCGGCAAGAATAATATTTGCGCAATATTGGAAAAATGAAGAAATACCACCAGGTGAAGAAATAATAAAAAAAATACTGGAATGCGCAGAAATGGACAGATTTGACTACGAGACTGAAAGAAAAAGGAGAAACAGAATATTATCAAACTTGGGATTTATTTTACCGATGGTTAGAGGAAAGAATAAAGGATTAGGAATTAAATAGGTATTAGCGTATTTAAACTCAGATANAACGTATCTTCCAGCTGCCAAGGTTGAGAAATGCTACTATTATGAATAAATCAGCCAGCTAAATTTGACATTCCTGGGGCAAAATACCTACGGGGTACCCTTTCTTTGCACCCCCCAACTATCTACAGGGGATTGCCTCTACAACCTCAGCTACTTAAGTTGCCTTTCCCATAGGTGTATCCAGGCCCAGCCACCTCTCACCCCATCTGTAGCAAAAGGATGCTAAGAAGCTTCGTCTGTTGCTACGGAAACCCCAGGTACCAATGAGGAGACAGCAACCGCTAGCATCCGATGTCAAGGAGGTTACATTCCTCGTCACTGACGGGATTCCCAAACACACCAATCAATTTTAAGAGCTGCTGTTCTTTTAATCACAATTTCACCACAATTCAGCGTGGATTAGAGGAGTCCGTGTAGGCCCCAAATAAAAATAAGTGTAAGATTTATTCAAATCTTTTAAATAAATAAAAATATTCAGCTTAGTTCTGGCTTCTGCTGAGTTATTTCTAGCAGTGTGCTAGATTCTATCTTTAAGACCACCCCCCACTTTAATTCAATTCCCAGTTGTAAGTTGAGGACTAACTGCAGATTACTAGTTTGGACACACTAACCATTTGCAAGCGAAGTGCTTGTGTTAAAATCCAGGGTCGGGAGTTAAACCTGCTGGGGGAAGCCAGCCAATTTACAGGTCGTCCTCGATTTACAACCATTCGTTTAGCGACTGCTCAAAATTACAACCGCACTGGAAAAAGTGACGTGCCACTGGTAGTCACACTTCTATCTGTTGCACCATCCCTGTGGTCGCGCGATCAAAATTTAGGGGCTTGGCAACTGACTCATATTTATGACGGTGACACCGTCCCAGGTCATGTGATTCCCTTTTTTGCGACCTTGTGAGAAGCCGGATTCGCTTAGCGACCGTGTGACTGACTTAACAGCGGCAGCAATTCCCTTAATAACCCAGGCGAGAAAGGTTGCAAAATGGGGCAGAAACTCACTGAACTGTCTTGCTTAGCAAACGGAAATTTTAGGCTCAACTATTTGTACTAGGATCTGCCGTTTTGGGAGTGGCCATTGGCAAGTTGTGACTTTTGCAATGTTAACAGCAAATCTCCGGAAATCCAGAAGCTTCTGCCCTGGTTGGTTTTTGATAAGGAATTGAAGAGCATCGTATCCCAAGGTCATGCAATCACCATTTTTGACCTTCCCCACCGATTTTTGACAGACGAAGTCAACGGGGGAAGCCAGTCGTAAATTTAACCATCACTTAACCGTCTCCTTTGCTTTCTTGTTGTTAGTTGCGAAGTCGTGTCCGACCCATCGCGACCCCATGGACAACGTTCCTCCAGGCCTTCCTGTCCTCTCCCATCTTCTGGAGTCCATTGAAGCTCACGCCTGCTGCTTCAGGGACTCCATCCAGCCACCTCATTCTCTGCCGTCCCCTTCTTCTCTTGCCCTCCATCTTTCCCAGCATCAGGCTCTTCTCCAGGGAGTCCTTCCTTCTCATGAGATGGCCAAAGGACTTGAGTTTCCACTTCAGGATCTGGCCTTCTAAAGAGCAGTCAAGGTTGATCTCCTCTAGGACTGACCGGTTTGATCGCCTTGCAGTCCAGGGGACTCGCAGGAGTCTTCTCCAGCACCCTAGTTCAAAGGACTCAATTCTTTGGCGCTCGGACTTTCTTATGGTCCAACTTTCACAGCCATACATTGCAACTTTGTTTAGCAATGGAAATTCTGCCCCCGACTGTGGTCATAAGCCAAGGACTAGCTGAATTCTCTCTGGTTTTTAGGCCAGGAGGTGACGTGGGCTGTTGGTCGAGTTGCTTGGTTCCAGGCCAGGAAAAAATTCTTAGATCCTGCTCGTAGTTTTTAATTTCTCTCATTCGTTCTGGTTATTTATACTGTGTTTCTGTCACGGTTTTAAACGCTTCGTGCCATTACGTCTGACTAAATAAATGAATAAAGTTAAGTACTGATCAACCACTTGTAAAAAAATGTCCCCGAGAAAATGACAATGGGTTAGTTCCTGGACAGTCACTAAGGGTGACATGCAGCAGCAGCAACAATGACAACAACTAGCTATGACACATTTGCACCTCACCAAAAACCACTGAAAATGATTTACCTCCTCATTCCCAAACTACGCCAAATTATAGCCATTTCTCCCAAGAAGATTCATACAATCAGACACACATACACACATAAATATATATATTAAAAAAACCTGAATAACTGCAGTAAATTATCATTCAGGTCAACCTCCACAGTGGGACCTCTGGTGGATGCTGAACGACATGAAAAAGAAAAGACTTAGTAGGAAACGTGGACTTAATCCTGTAGAAAGAAGTTTTCTGAGGTATGCCAAGAGTATTTTTCAGGGTGAAAAAAAATATTCGCCAGGGAGGGAAGGAAGAGAGAGAGAGACGCAACAGGGCTGAGCACAAAGAAACCGGGAAAATTATCACGGCGACTTCGATTCTTTCAAAACTCATAGAAAACTTGGACAGCCAAGTTCTGGCCCGAGGTTCTGCCTCAGTTTACCTTCTCAATAAGCCACCAAGTTGGAAGATCGTTTAAAAGCAGCTCGTTAGGGTACTCTGATGAAGTGGGGTCTCCCTGTGAAAAGGAGACCCTTTTATACTCCTTTTAACAGTGAACACAACAAAGAAAAATGAAAGAGGTAAGACTAAACCCCGCCTTGCACAGCAAATCAGCTACAAAGCTTGTTTGAAATTGGATGACACTAAGACACTTTTTTCCTACCAGGAGATAATAATAATAGTAATAATAAAGTTGGGAGGAAACCTTGGAGGTCATCTAGTCCAACCCCCTGCTCAGGCAGGAAATCCTATACCATTTCAGACCAATGGCTGTCCAGTTTCTTCTTAAAAACCTCCAGTGTTGGAGCATTCAACGCTTCTGGTGGCAGGTTGTTCCACTGATTAATTGTCCTAACTGCCAGGAAGTTTCTCCTTAGTTCTAGGTTGCTTCTCTCCTTGGTTAGTTTCCATCCGTTGCTTCTTGTCTTGCCCTTAGGTGCTTTGGAGAATAGCTTGACTCCCTCTTCTTTGGGGCAGCCCCTGAGATACTGGAACATTGCTATCATGTCCCCCCTGGTCCTTCTCTTCGTTAAACTAGACATACCCAATTCCAGCAACCGTTCCTTATATGTTTTAGCCTCCAGACCTCTAATCATCCTTGTTGCTCTTCTCTGCACTCTTTCTAGAGTCTCAACATCTTCTTTACATTGTGGTGACCAAAACTGGATGCAGGATTCCAAAGTATTGTAAACTGTAAATTATCTTTTCAGTTTAGGAAGGTTAAAAGCAATCTAATCAATCCATACAGGGGGCCAGGTTATTCACCAGAGCACCAGAGGGAAGGACGAGAAACAATGGTTGGAAACTGATCAAGGAGAGAAGCAACCTGGAATTAAGAAGAAACTTCCTGACAGTGAGGACAATCAACCAGTGGAACAGCTTACCCTCAGAAATCGTGGGTGCTCCATCACTGGAGATTTTCAATAAGAGACTGGACAATCACCTGTCTGAGATGCTGTAGGTTCTCCTGCTCAACACGGGGTTGGACTAGAAGACCTCCAGGGTCCCTTCCAGCTCTATTCTATTCTATTCTATTCTATTCTATTCTATTCTTCTATTCTATTCTATTCTCATTCTGCATTCATTTTGGCTGGAGCCTACAGACAGTCCTTGATTTACGACCATTTGATTAACAGACGTTTGAAATTACAACAGCGCTGAAAACAGTGACTTATGATGGGGTCCTTGCACTTCGGACCACCACAATATCCCCAAGGTCACATGATCAAAACCTGGATGCTTGACAACCGCNAAAAATGAAGAAATACCACCAGGTGAAGAAATAATAAAAAAAATACTGGAATGCGCAGAAATGGACAGATTTGACTACGAGACTGAAAGAAAAAGGAGAAACAGAATATTATCAAACTTGGGATTTATTTTACCGATGGTTAGAGGAAAGAATAAAGGATTAGGAATTAAATAGGTATTAGCGTATTTAAACTCAGATAGCACGTTGGTTGAAAAATTATTATTGCATGTATGGAAAAAAAAACTAATAAAATCTTATATTAAAAAAAAATCTCGTGGCAGTTAACCTCCAACAGGTTTATTCTTTGGATCAACGGAAAGACGCGAGCTTTGTCCTACGCCCTTGAATTTTGGGACTTTTGTGTTGTAACTTTTTTCTTTTTTGAATGAAATACAAATAGGAAAGAAAAAAAAAAAAAAAAAGCAGAAGCCAGAAATCTGAACGGCCAACCCAGACGCATCAACGTGGGCCAGATGTGGGAAAGATCTTGGGTTTGCCGTGATTAATTTAAAAGAGTCTGAGAATATTGACGCAAACAATCCAGGTTTGGCAATTCCCAAGTTCTTCCTTCTCTTCTTCAGCCTGCAGGGTTTTGTGTGCAAACTTCACCTGCCATGCTATGGGGGATGGGGCAAGACCCCCCTGCTAGAACATCACCTTCCCAAAGAGTCTACCTCTCAGGCTGCTGTAGCAATCGAAGCCGCAACGATCTCTTTTTTCTTTGCTACCCGTTCAGCTGCTCTGGCTTCGGCCTCAGCGGCCAACCTCTCTTCGCGCTCCTTCAGAAAGACTCCGTATTCTTCTGCATTTAACCTAACCGGAGGAGAGAAGAGCAGAGATTCACAACTGTGTACATGTTACACATTGTTTGGAATTCATCGTTGGAATGAATCTCTCTATGCAACAACTACAGGAGTAACTACAGGGAAATGAAAACTAACTAATCATCATAGCACAGATGATGGATTTGAGACAATGAAGGATACTCCATTAGTAAGTAGTGATGTACTACGATGAGAAATAGAAAATGTTTATGAAATAAAATAAGAATATATTCAAGTGATAGGTATATTTTAGATATCATTTTTATAGAGTGAAATAAAGGACATTTGGGTTACCCGGAATTTAAATACTATGGATACTAAAGGTTAAATTGGAACATTCTAATTAAACATTAAAAATTAGGTGAAATTTAAATACAGGATATGGATACGTACAAGCAAAAATGTAAGGATCAATGTCTTAACTGAGCTTGTTACAAGCTTAAATATGATATAGTTAAGGGAAATAGAAAAGGAATTTCTTGATGATGTAACCTGAGATATGTACTAAAGATTTTGTTATTGTACTATTGACTACTCAATCCCACGCTGCTTTCCAAATACTTAAATATAAAACTGGGAAACCAATAAAAACTTGTTATAAAAAAAAAAAGGAAGAAGTTCTGGGCTCATTTGTGGTCACAAGTTGAGGACCAACTGCTTGGTCCCACCAGGCCCGTGGGAAAAGGTGTTAGCTCCCGCCCCACCGTCCCTCTTGGTACTTACTCTTTCACTACTTTGATGCCTAACGATTGGGCGGTTCCAATTAGGGACCTGATGACTGTTTCCATCGGCCAGTCGCGGATCACAAATGAGGTGTCCTGGGATTTCACAAGCGCAATCTCGTACAGGTGCTTCAGAGTCACCATCCCAGCTATCTCATGTCCTACCGGGGATGGAGATGGTTGTAAATAGCAATAGCCCTTAGACTTATACACCGCTTTGCGGTGCTTTACAGCCCTCTCTAAACAGTTTACAGAGTCAGCCTGTTGCCCCCAACAATCTGGGTTGGTGGTGGCGAACCTATGGCACGTGTGGCAGAGGCGGCACTCAGAGCCCTCTCTGTGGATAGGGGGAGTCCTATCATCTGCTCTGTTTCCCTTCACCCAGCCGCCCAGTTTTCCTTCTTCCGATTCTTCTTCTTACCAGGCGACGAAGCTCCTTTTTCTACCCCGGCTGCCGAAAGTAAAAAGTACGTAGTTGTTGGTTTGTTTATCTGAAGTTCGTAAGACCGGTCAGACTAGAAGCGAGTGAAAATAAAAAAGGAAACGGGAGAAATAAAAACAGAACGCTGGAGTTTTATGAAACGCATATATTGAGAAATGGAACGTATTAGGCATTTCAATGCATTGTAAAAATAATAATAATGAATCTGTTGTGTTCTTTTTAATACAGTGTTGGGGATGTTTATGGCAGAGTTTTCCTGCCCGTATGTCAGGGGTCTTCAAACTTGGCGCTTTTATGATTTGTGGACTTCAACTCCCAGAATTCCTCAGCCAGGCACGCTGGCTGAGGAATTCTGGGAGTTGAAGTCCACAAGTCATAAAAGGGCCAAGTTGGCTGAGGAATTCTGGGAGTTGCAATCCACAAGTCATCAAAGGGCCAAGTTGGCTGGGGAATTCTGGGAGTTGAAGTCCACAAGTCATCAAAGGGCCACGTTGGCTGGGGAATTCTGGGAGTTGCAATCCACAAGTCATCAAAGGGCCACGTTGGCTGGGGAATTCTGGGAGTTGCAGTCCACAAGTCCACAAGGGCCAAGTTGGCTGGGGAATTCTGGGAGTTGAAGTCCACAAGTCATCAAAGGGCCAGGTTGGCTGAGGAATTCTGGGAGTTGAAGTCCACAAGTCATCAAAGGGCCAGGTTGGCTGAGGAATTCTGGGAGCTGAAGTCCACAAGTCATCAAAGGGCCAAGTTTGAAGACCCCTGCCATATATAGTCAAAGCTATGTATTTTAAGTAGTGTATTATTTTCTTATTCTTTTCCTTTTCTCTCTCTCTTTTTTCTTTTCTCTCTCTTTTCTTTCTTTTTCTTTGGTGTCTTTTTCCATTTACTTTTTAAGATATGAAAATAGACTTAAAATACTTAAATGTAATTAACCTTGAGAAATTTTTAGCCAGTAAGAATGTTTTGAACATTGTAGGGAAAACGAATTTAAATAAGAATTGCAAACAGGATTCATGAGGGTTAGGGTTAGGTCCTCATTTTACGGACCTTGGAAGGATGGAAGGCTGAGTCAACCTTGGGCCGGTCAGGATCGAACGGAAGGTTTAACTCAGCTTTCCATCCTTCTGTGGAATTCACAGCTTGCTGCTTGCCATCCTTCAAAACGTTTCCCAACCTTGGCAATTTTAAGGTATGTGGACTTCAACTCCCAGAATTCCTCAGCCAGCTTATCTTAAAGACCCTAAGGTTGGGAAACATTGCTTTGAAAGAAACTGCAGCCAGGCCCGAGACCGGAATTCAAAGTCCCAAAATGTTTGAAAGAACAGATGGTCTGTGGGGCAGTTCCAGGCTTCGGGATGTTGTCCAGGAATCCTGGAAGTTCTACCCCAAGGCCCTCTTGCTCAAAACCCTTTGAAATGAAGATCTCGTCTCACCTTTATGTTGATTTTGGTGGGCAGCGGGATGCCTGGTATGAAGTCCTTGGTCCGCTCGTTGAAATCCTTGCAGAATTGTCCGATGGGGATGCCATACTTTTTGCAGGAAGAGAGAGAAAGAGAGGGAGAAGTTTAGCCAGTTGAAAACCTCAACCCAGGATCCTGTTTTCCCAGAAAACGTCTCTTTGTGCTGATTCAGCTCTATGGGGCACTTGTTCAAGACACCATCAAAGAGGTTAACCAGCCCCTCTGGATTGCTCAGGGGGAGGTGAGGCACTTCTCTATGACGGGCCTTCCACTTCCGGTTTTCAACTTCCAGAGAAGAGAGGGACCTTCTAACACTGTTTCTATATTTCAGCAACTATCACCTGGCTCTGGACCATAAGGAAGGCTGAGCGCCAAAGAATGGAGGCCCTTGAACTCTGGTGCTGGAGAAGACTCCTGCGAGTCCCCTGGACTGCAAGGCGATCCAACCGGTCAGTCCTAGAGGAGATCAACCCCGACTGCTCTTTAGAAGGCCAGATCCTGAAGTTGAAATGCAAGTCCTTTGGCCACCTAATGAGAAGGAAGGACTCCCTGGAGAAGAGCCTGATGCTGGGAAAGATGGAGGGCAAGAGAAGAAGGGGACGACAGAGAAGGAGGTGGCTGGACGGAGTCCCTGAAGCAGCAGGCGTGAGCTTCAATGGACTCCAGAAGATGGCCTGGAGGAACGTTGTCCATGGGGTCCCGATGGGTCGGACACGACTTCGCAACTAACAACAACACCTGGCTCGCCAGCTCCTTCAGAGGAGGGGGACAAGATTCCTTTGAAACTGCTTCCCTTTGGCCTTTGTCCAGTTCCCGTGAGAACTCAGACAATGCAAGAGGGGGAAAGCAGCATGAAACAGCCCATGGAGGATGAGAGGGACTAAGTTGGGGGTGGGGTGACGTAGGAGATGATCAGACCGAGACCGAGAGAGGGGTCAAAGTGCATCATCTATCTGGAGTCCCTTCTTGCCCACATGAGATCTAAGTCCAGCCCACCTTGAATTCCCTTGAGTCTTATCTAATGTTGTGACCATTAGTTCAGATTCTTGTAGAGAGTATTCACACACAGTAAACCTACAGTCATTTCAATGCCTTGCTGCCCGATTTTATTGTGCCTGACACAAACGCAGTAGTGTGTCTTCTGCTGAAAAAATATTTAACGTGTTGCCTGAGCTCTGCTTGCAAGTTCTTTCATTAATGCGTGGATAACCTTGACTTAGTTGGAGGAGAAAACCAACAAAAGAACTTAGTTCCCATCCCAGTCTGTGCCCAGTTCTTCTGCCTTGTTGGTCTATTCCAGGGCTGGGGAACGATGCTCTCCCCCTTCATGACTCCCAGAATTCCTGAGTTGAACTCCACAAGTCATAAAGGGGCCATCGTTCCCCACCACCCCGGTCTAGTCTCAGATGCTATCTTTATAAAAATTAACCTGACTTTGCTGTCTTTCTCCTATGGTTACCTGTCCAAGAACAGGTCCTAGTGGTGGACCTGGAACAGCCTGTCCAGCTTTGATGATTGACCGGATCACCCCTCCGCCAGTTATCTGCAGCGCGGCTTTACCCGCTTGGGCAATTTTCGACATGTTGGTTTCGGTTCTGCACGGACCTAGATTAAAAAGAGATTAACTGAAAGAGGATTTGGAAAGAGTGGAATCTCAGAATGAGGATGACACAATGCTTCTGAACCTTAACGGATTTAAGATGTGTGGTCTTCAACTCCCAGAATTCCCCAGCCAGCCCAATTCCCAGCATGTTCAGTTCTAGGAGATGAAGTCCACACAGCATAAAAATGCCAAGGTTGAGGAACACTGATCTTAACACAAGGAGAGCAAAGCAAAGGTGATACAAACTGTTTGAGATGGAGATCACAGGGAGAAAAATTCAGTTTCATCTCCTTTGGAGACAATTATGTATAGGCTGTAGGTTTGTTCTCCGAGCTTGGCGATTTGGCTGCAAATGTTTCATCTCCATTCAGGGGGACATCTTCAGCGCACTTTGAATTGTGCTCGTTTATCAGAGCACTGGCCTTTAAATACCTTTTTGTGCGATGTAAACCGGACGTCTCAACGACGACAACTAAACAACCTGAAAGCAGACCATGTGACTCAGAGGCAACCAAACGAACAAACATCATTTGCATCACACAGACGATACTTCAACACCAAAGACTGCGGCCCAGCCACAACAACCAGCCAATCAAACAGCCTGAAGCCAGACCACGACTCAGAAACATCCAGACAAATAACACCTGCACCAATTTACATCACACAAAAAGGTATTTAAAGGCCAGTGCTCTGACAGATGAGCACAATTCAAAGCCCACTGAAGATGTCCCCCCGAATGGAGACAAAATATTTGGACCCAAATCAAACCAACAGCATAACTACCAACCCAAGCTACTAATACTGAAATACATCTCAACAGTTACGTATAATTGGGGAGGCCAAGATTATTTCCTTCTGGCCTCTGCCTGAACAGGTGGTAGCATTCAAGCCAATGTTATTTGGTTTCATAAGCTAACAGGACTGGATATGCTTGGCATTTGGATGGCACACCACCAGGAAATCTCAGGACTGTATGTACAGACTGGGACAACAAACAACAACCCAGAAAAACACAACAGCAAACTGCACTTACTGCCAAGAAAATGTACTCAGATGTGTTATGAAGTTACTAAGAACAGAACTAAAGAAAGCTAGGGACAGACCGAGGAAAAGAGGCACAGTTATAGTACAGGTAGTCCTCGACTTATAACCATTCATTTAGTGACTGTTCAAAGTTATGACGACTCTGAAAAAAGCAATTTATGACCGTTTTTCACATTTACAACCATTGCAAAATACCCAGGGTCAAGTGATCTAAATTCAGACGCTGGGCAACTGACTCGTACTTATGACAGTTGCAGAGTCCTGGGGTCAGGTGATCCCCTTTTGTGACCTTCTGACAAAGTCAATGAGGGAAGCCAGATTCGCTTCACAATTGTGTTACCAATTTAACAACTGCAGTGATTCACTTAACAACTGTGACAAGAAAGGCCGTAAAATGGGGCAAAACTCACTTAACGAAGGTCTCACTTAGCAACAGAAATTGGGGTCGTAAAGTCGAGGACTGCCTGTACTGCAGTCGCCGTCTGTCATGTTGATTTCCTAAAAAAAAATGAAGGGGTCTCCGCCTGAGATCTAGAGGCATTCTCAGCAATTACGTTTCTGTGATATTGATGTTGCTTTTCCAGCATGCCAACTTCCCAGGTTCATTCCGAAACCGAAACACCGATTTAAAAATATAAAAAGTCAAACGGGAGAGGGATCCGAATGAGTGCTGAGAAAGAGATCTAAAAGCACAGCCAGGAGACCTTGGTCAAAATACTTGCTTTGCACGCAGATGTCGGCTTTTCCTTCCCAACACCTCCAGTTTTATGGCACAGGTAGCAGGAGAGCACCGTCTCTGCCGACTGTGGCAACCTGCTGCCAAGTTACAGCCCTGCGACAAAGGGACACAGAGTTAGTTTTCTCACAAAAAGTCCCCCTTCAGCCACAGAATACCCGCTGTGCATGCATGCAGCCTCGTTTGCAATACTACCACTTTTCAATACCTAACACTCCAGCCATCCCCAGCCTGGTTTCATCCAGTAACATAGTTATCACAATGCCCAACATTGCCAGCCTGAAATTAGGAGGACTGTCACCCAACACCCTTGGGAGGGCACCAGGCTGGGTTTATGCTGCAGCACAATTAACAAAGGCAGCAGGTTGGGTTGTTTGTAGCTCAATGGGAAAGATATACCCAGAGGACTGCATGCCCACAGCATGCTAAATTTGATCACAGTCAACTGGGCAAATCAAACCAGGTTAACTGTAAACTGTGTAAACTGTGCAAACCTAACCCCTTTAGTGGATTAATTATAGTATCTGTGTATGTATATAGTATATTATGGCTGGTATGGGGAATTCTGGGACTGGGAAGTCCACCCAGCTTAAAGCATGCTGGCTGGGGGATTCTGGGAGTTGAAATCCACCCATCTTAAAGCATGTTGGCTGGGGGATTCTGGGAGCTGAAATCCACCCATTTTAAAGCATGCTGGCTGGGGGATTCTGGGAGTTGAAGTCCATCCATTAAATTAAAGCATGTGCACGGAGGGATAACTTTTATCACCACCGTTTCTCGCAACCAACTCAATTCCCACCTTCACCCGGTAACCCAAGAGCAGGAATCGGAGAAGCCATTTCTGCGATCCGGAAAGACCCTGAAAAGAATCCCACCTGGTCCGAACCCCACCCCGGCCTCCCTTCCTAAGCTTCGACCGGCCGTCTTTCGCCGCCCCCGGCGCCCTTCCCTACCTAACCGCCTCCCTCAAGCGAGCCCTAGCTGGGCACCGCCATCTTGGAGTCAGCGAGGTCAACAGCGCTTTGCATGCTGGGAGGCCTGGCTTTGCCTTGCCCCGCTCTTAAATGGCGCCCGTTCACCTAGCTAGCCATCCCGGGACGCGATGACGTCACTGAGGCGCACGCGGGGCATGTCGGGAGGGTTCCGTTGGCGTCCGTTCCCATGGCAACGAGAGAATTCCTTGCTGTGGAGGGGGGGAGCCAAGATGGCGGCCTCCTCGCCTCGTCAGCAACGAGACAAACCGTAAAGACACGAATTTTAGAAGGAGGACCCCGAAAAAGGTACACTAAAAAAAATTTTTGTTTATACCGAGGGTAAGAGGGCAAACCACACCACCCCCCGAGGAGTTCACTCCACCACGACTTCGCACCCCTCCCCCTGAGCTTTACCGCCCACCAGCGGTGCGGACTCCCTGGAAAACTTACCTTTTCTACTACGACCGGCTCCAAAATGGTCCTCAGCATCCGTCCTTTCCTTGCCAGGCATAAAATGGACTATCTTGCAGGGCTGTGGTCAGCCTTTCGTAGGCATCAACATTTCATTTTAATGTATGCCAACATTAAAGTGACAATAAAGCTATTCTATATTCCTATTCTATTCTACCCTTATTCTATTTTATTTTTTATTCCTATTCCATAATTCTATTCTGTATTCCTATTCCTATTCCTATTCTATATTCTATTCTATTCTATTCTTCTATTCTCATTCTGCATTCATTTTGGCTGGAGCCTACAGACAGTCCTTGATTTACGACCATTTGATTAACAGACGTTTGAAATTACAACAGCGCTGAAAACAGTGACTTATGATGGGGTCCTTGCACTTCGGACCACCACAATATCCCCAAGGTCACATGATCAAAACCTGGATGCTTGACAACCGCATGTATCTGTGTCCGTTGCAGCATCCCAGAGTTATGTGGTCTCCATTTGTGACCTTCTGTGTCAGCTTCAGACAAGCAAAGTCAACAGGGTCCCTCTGAGGGAGAGAGGTAGTCCAGGTAGTCCTCAACTTACAACCACTATGGAGCCCAAAGTTTCTGTTGCTAAGCAACAGTTGAGCTTTGCCCCATTTTATGACCTTTCTTGCCACAGTGGTTAAGCGAATCACCGCAGCTGTTAAGCTAGTAACACGGTTGTAAAGTGAATCTGGCTTCCCCATTGACTTTGTCGGAAGGTCACAAAAGGGGAATCAAAACGACCCAGGGACACTGCAACGGTCATAAATATGAGTCAGTGGCCAAGCATCTGAATTCTGATCATATGACCGTGGGGATGCTGCAATGGTCCAAAATTCACACTTTTTACCAGTAGCAAGTGAAGAAAATCACTGTAACATTGAGACTTACCAGTGAATTACTTGAACTCCTGATGGAAATGAATTTATACTGTTTATTTACGTAATTTGTGACGGGGTCCCTTGTTTTATTCTCTAAGAATTCCAGATCTCACCTATTAACCTCGAGGAAGCGTTCTATTTTTAACGACGAATTGACAGATTAATGGTGGATATAAATAACTAGACAAACGCAGTTTTTTCTCCTGTGCCATCACTCTGCTGAACACCTAATTCCCACAGCAGTCTTGTGTCTAAAGATATGTAGTATCTTTAATATGTAGTAGGGCTGTATTACTATTGTCCTTATCTTTCCTTTTACTTTCTGCTATTGGTATCTTATGATTTATCACTTTGATGTTTGTATCTTATGATTTAAGATTGTATCTTATGATTTATGATTTATGACTCTTGTTTGTATGTTCACAGAGCTTATGCACCGGAGACAAATTCCTTGAATATTCTATTCTATTCTAAAAGGAAACGTATTAAATGAACAGTCTGGTCTACCAAACTCACTAGTGTAAGATATTACTTGTTCAACAGCCTTTGGGGACAAAAGGCTCATTTCTCCTGACATATATTGGTATTCGGCCAAAAAAACCTGAAGAATATCACTTTTATTTTCAAATGTTTTATAAATAGATGAATGCCAGATCCTGAATGACAATGGAACGGGACGCTTGGGCATAAAATACTGGAAACACCTCTGCAGCATATCATTGGAGAAACAGATAAAGACAGTTTTAAAGTTCTTTTTAAAAAGGAAGGGAACAAATCAGAAACCTATCAGTCTTTTGGGGGAAAAGACCCAAAAGGTATGCTTTAACAGGTTTTATTTTATTTTGATCCTCAGCATCTCTTGTTAAAGGAGCCAGGAAGCAAAAACGCATTCATGACACATCTCATTATTCATTCCACTAGAAATAACTCCAAAGTCGGTCGATAAAAAGCTACTCAGTAACTGGATCCTCCATCAGAAGGCATCAACTGGACTCCAGAAGATGGTAGAGGATAGGAAGGCCTGGAGGAACGTTGTCCATGGGGGTCGCGATGGGTCGGACACTACTTGGCAACTAACAACAAAATTGTCCTGTATTCCTTTGTTGGCTTTTCAGCTGCAATTGCCAACCTGATCCATTAGAGGGCAGTACTTGCAGTACTTCTGTTGAGCAGCTTTGAACTTAGAAAAGGGGAAGAGCGGAGGTAAAGCACTGCCCTCTGTTGGCTTAAGTGGGCAACTGCACTTGAAAAGTCCAACTCCTTACCATAGAACTGGACAAAGCCATACGTTTCTGGCTGACTTCATCTCCTGTTTCTAAAAGTGGTCAGCCTGGTGCTTCTGAAGGGCTGAAAGAGGCTTATCTGCCACCCCTGGATGATGGGTAGCAAGACACACACTGAAAAATCGCCAGAAACGAAGCAACTAAATGCAACTTCATTTATTGTAAATGAAACCAGCCAATATGATTTATTGCAGCCATCCAGTTCTGGCTGGAGAGCAGCCTTCAACCTTTGCAAAATATGCTGGGTCTGTGCTCCCCAAAGAGACTCGATGTGGCCTGGACAAAGACTAAGCGGCTCAGTGAAGCACAGTAAATCATCATCTGTCTCCCCAGATGTGTTGGGAAGCCTTTGGATAATTCTCTTCCCAAGCCTTTGGCTCACATTCTTTCTCTTCAAGCCAACACCGTCCTAGGCTGACAGAAGCAGGTCTTGATATCTACAAAATTTCACAAAAACGTCTTGTTCCTTCCCCAGACCTGTCTCTTACACAACTATAACTGGGCCAAACCAACCAGTTTTACACGCTGGGGAAAAGAAAGACGCCTGACGAATGACAAAAATGAGCCCAGGAGAACAAGTTCTGGATTTATTTTTCTCGGGAGACAAGCAACGAAATCATTTGCGGGAGCGTCTTTTTCTGTTCTAGCAAAGAGATGCATTTCTCATTGCAGGTCACCTACAATGCCAGCGATAAGAGGACAGCAATTAAACATCGATGGAGCAGATCCTTTGAACTATCTGTTCCTTAAAGCATGATTTGTATCTCTCATTAAAGCCTAAAGATCTCATTGTACCAATTGATTCACGACTCTTCAGGACTTGGGTTTGGCTAGTCTAAAGAAAAGAAGATACAGGGCAGACATGATAGCAGTGTTCCAGTATTTGAGGGGCTGCCCCAAAGAAGAGGGGGTCAAATTATTCTCAAAAGCACCTGAAGGCAGGACGAGAAACAATGATTGGAAACTGATCAAAGAGAGAAGCAACCTGGAATTAAGAAGAAACTTCCTGACAGTGAGGACAATTAACCAGTGGAACAGCTTGCCTCCAGAAGTTGTGGGCGCTCCATCACTGGAGATTTTTAAGAAGAGGCTAGACAGTCATTTGTCTTGCGATGGTATAGGTTCTCCTGCTTGAGCAGGGGGCTGGACTAGAAGACCTCTAAGGTCCCTTCCAGCTCTATTCTATTCCTTATATTTAACCTCTCACTAACAGTGGAGTATTAAAGGACTCCGCATATGAGGCCTGGAAGATTAGTTAATGGCCAGCAGGACAGAAGAGAAGTATCAGGAACAGGTCAACCCAAATGGAAAGACAGATGTTGGGAAATTCAGCAGAGGAGCACACGCAGAAGCTATGGATCGGAGTGGGGTTCAAGTACAGGCAGTCCTTGACTTATGAT